AAGTGCGAGCCAGCATGTTATTTGATCACAAGTGCGAGACATATCACAAGTGCAGTGTGAGCCAGCGAGCCATGACGTCACGACAATAGATAGAGACGTAAGCCAGTTGTGCGAGGAATCGACTGAGATTTGTGGAGTACAATTTTCAAAAAACAACTATAGGTCTAATAATGAATTAATGTGATGTTAAATAGACAATGTTAGCTATCAAAGAGCGACGTTGTTTTTCATTGGGACCTTCGTCCCTTCAAGGCTAGGCCTATATACCATCCTAGCTAGTCTAGGTCTAGAGTAGGATAAGGCTAGCGCGACATGTGGACGTTGGTACGAGTATGTTAGTCTACAAACGTCGCCTAAAGTAATTGATTTTACCCGGCAGAACGAAAGAAGGAGACTCCGCTTTTCAGTCGTCTTAGGCGCTCGTTTTTCGACAAACAATGACCTTTCAGAGGTCAAACTGCTGTCAAGAATATGAATTGGCTGCTTCGCAGCAAATACATAACAAATTATTAAATATATCAAAGTATAAGATTGTAAAACATGAGATTCATACCTGTCCCATCATGTGAATCTGCAGTGATGCCAACCAACTCAACCGCATCAATCTCAGTATAGTAATCCAAATGCTCGTGTCGAAACACAATACGTAGCAGCCTGAAAATAAACAGAAAAATGAATCTAACACTGTACATTGTTTTGTGTTTACTGTTTCTGCCCAATTTGTTTTGAATTCAATACCTTAATCTTTTTTTTTTTATTATATTAATTTTAAATCGTGTAATCTAGGGAAGCTTGTATTGTGGTGTATGCTTATTATCTTAATGATTCTTCTACTCCAGGATGCATAGTTTGAAGGTGGTTAGTTCCGATGGCGTTGTTTTCCGATGGCACCTTTTTTTTTGTGTCAGGAAAAATAATACGAATCAATGTTTGCACAACCTGATGTGTTATAGTACTACAGTAAATGCTCAGTACATACCCAAATACTTGCGAAAAAATCTTGCAAGTGATTTGGTGGGAATCAAACCCACGACCTCCAGGTAACTAGACCAGTGTCTTAACTACTCGACCACTGAGCTTGCGCTTAGGTGGTTAGTCTTACATGACTCTTTTCTGGTCTTTTTCTTTCAAAGTATAGCAAAAAAATAACCTTTGAATATGTTTACTTACGATGTTGGGAACGAGCAAGTTTTCAATGTTGGTGAAAACTTGCGGAATTCATTATATGTTGCTTGCATGAAACAGCTGTACAGACATTCCCACCTAGGACAAGAAAGTCAGAATCAAAATCGAATCTATTTGTTCTCTAATGGTAAATACAATTGCTTACACTTACAGAGTAAGTATTGCATTTAACATTCACAACAAAAATAGCAATTTTTGTTTTGATATTTGAGGCTTTGCCATCCAAAAACAAGCAAAACTGTCACTAAGCGAACTGAGTAATTAGCATAAGAATGTGCCAGTATTGTATACTTCACTACAGACAAGCCATAATACTTTTAGGCTACGTTCAGACTTAGAGATAAGCCCGGCTCAAGGTTAAGCCCGGCTCAAGGTTAAGCCCGGCTCAAGGTTAAGCCCAGCCTAACTTCGCCGGGTGTTCAGACTAGCGAGATTAGCCAGACGCAAGTATTTGCATATTAATGAACCGTAACCAGGAAATGAGTTTCGAAACATTTAATTGAATACTGACTGGTCATTGTTTACCCAAAGTCAACGCAAGACCCCCCCCCACCCCCCGCAACGATTAAAGCCCGGCTTAGCAAAGTTAAAACCGTAACCAGGAAATGAGTTTCGAAACATTTAATTGAATACTGACTGGTCATTGTTTACCCAAAGTCAACGCAAGACCCCCCCCCACCCCCCGCAACGATTAAAGCCCGGCTTAGCAAAGTTAAACACGGTGGCTACTATAGGAACACAGCCCGGCTTGAGATAAGCCACCTGGTTGAGACTGGCACGTGGATAAACCGGTGAGTTGAGCCGGATTTATCTACCCAGTCTGAACAAGGCGTCTCTCATAACTTTGGCAATAATATGTGGATTCCAGTAAATGATTTATCACTGATGCTTGTCTTGTCAACACAAGCCCCATTTAATCAAACATCTGCAAGTGTTAAGATTAAACATTTTAATTGTGTTTTTATATTAAATAAGTAAATATTTACTTAGGTAGGAGCATGCAATTCTATCTTTGTCCCCTGCTACTGTGTTCCCTCTCATGAGAACTATATGCAGTATAGCTACTATCAAAACATATACCTGATATTTTGCTGAGAGTTGCATTCACTAATATCCTTGATGTTGCATGCATAGATTTCTACAACTGCGCCAGGGTGATAGGTTTCATAGAATAAAATATTACTAGGATACAAAGGGGTGTCAAACCACAGATCTGTAATAACAATTAATTAAATATACTGAAATGCTTTTTTATGAGAGGTACTGTATGACTGATGTGTGATCATAATAATAATAATAAAAAATTATATTCAGAATAAGGCATGATTGATATATGATCATTTTGGATTTGTTTGAGGTATGATATAAAATGTGATCATTTGTTATGTATTCATGAAATACTGTAGGAACATTCTGAAAATGTTCTGAGCTGTATGGTCATGAGGTATGATCAATTTGATTGATGAATTCTAAATTGTGGTAGGAAAGAAATGTGATCATGTCTGGTTTCATGAGATACAATAAAATGTGATCATGTCTGATATATGAGGCAAGATCAATGTTTGATCATATTTTAGCTGTAAGAGAGTAGCTTAGCTCAGTCGGCTAATCTGGTGGTAGCCAATGTGCGTGCACTGAACCGTGGAGATCTGTAGGTCCTCGGTTCAATTCCCATTGCTGCCTCTCCTCCATTTGTTTCAGCTACAATAGCGTACCGTCTTTCGGATAAGACATTTAAGCTGTTGGTCCCTTGTGCATTTGTGGTCCATTTGCACGTTAAAGAATGCACTACACTCTTCGGAAAAGAATAGGGGATAGTCTCCCGGTGTACTGCCCAATCACCAGCAGAAGGACCCCACTAAAAATAAGTCTTCTTCTAGATTTTTGTGGGCTATCCAATCCAATCCAATTTTTTATGTGACATTACATTCAGGTTCCAAAACTTACCAACAAAGTCCTGACCCAAGTAGTTTGACCTTTGACTGTCAATGACCTTTGAAACAGAGGGCGCCATAAGCCACCAGGGCCCGTAGGTTCTCTGTAGATTGAAATCAAGTGATGGAACTGGCTTATTCCATTAAATATTATTTATTCAACAATATATATAAATATTCAGACCAGATAAAAGAAAAAAAAGTCAATAAATAGGAATTATTTAAAAATATATGATTCAAAATATGATTCATGCCTTATGAATTATGAAAATAATTATAATAAGAATTGAAAACGATCAAGCAACTAAATGTTGCAATCCAAAATACAAAGTCACTTTTAAAGATGTGATCAGATTTTACCCACCCCAATTGAGTCTTAATTGTAAATAATAAGTCCACAATGGCAGTTATGGGAAGTGTACACACAAAGTGTGTATAAAAAATAAGTGAGAATGCAACATGAACAATATCAAATATTTACCAAAATATTAAATACTTACCAAAACTGCTGCTTGTGTGTTGTCTTCATATCGGTTTAATAAATTTGGTGGCCCAACCAAGTTTGTCATTGAATATCCTATAGAATTTTCTCGTCCATATTGAGAACTAAAACAAAGAACTTTGGAAACAAATTGATTGACAGACACTTTTGGTTTTTTTCCTGAACCAATCTGTAAGAAAATAAAAATTATGTGAGAATTAAATATTCTACGTACAGATGATCACATACAAATACAAATGTACTGTAGTAATGAAAGCATAGGTGGTTTGTTTTTTCCATATTTATTGTACGAAAAAAGGTAGTGGATATTGTTACACTAGTACTGTATTAACTAGTCTTAAACGAATTCCTAATTCTGACTCGGTTATCCATAGCCAATGCCGAAAAAACAATACATTTCCTGACATTTTAGTACAGGATGTAAAGTAAAGAAAGTAGGCCTAGGTAGGCCTACCTAAAAATGCAAATCATGTACTCTGTCTGTAAAGTGACAAAGTCTGTACCTTTAATATTACTTTAATTCTAAGACTTCTGAGTACCTACCTTCGGCTTACTACAATTCTTATTGTACATGCTGTCCATCCTCACTCAAACAATGTAGGCCTAGGCCTAGCCCTAAAATAAGGACAAATGAATTAACGGACAAGCAAGGCCAAGGAGGACACACGAGCACGAGCGGATGTCAGTTTCGTGCAGAGATGTAACAGAAACAAGGTCCAGCCTAGGCTAGCATGCAAAGCCTAGAGCGGAAATGAATGAATCAGCAGAACCGATAGTAGCCTACACAGTACTCATCCAAAGAGCCTATATAATAAAATACTAAATAATTTAGGCCTAGGGAGGGGGCCTAGGCCTAGTTCAATCCTTCCGTACAGTATATCATATTTTTCTCTTTTTGCTTGCTCGTTTTTGTTTACATCAAAGTAAATTTCAATTGAGGGCGCTTTTTTTATTTATTTATTTTTTTATTTATTGACACTTCACCTTTAGAACGGTGGCACACACAACTCTTGTGGTGCGGTCTAACAACAATAACAACTAAGATACAAAAGTAACAACCAATACAAAAACAAATCATATAAAGAAAAGCAAATTAACCAGGAATGCAAAAAAAAAAAAGGAAAGCCAGTAGCTTAACTCAAAAAGTTGTTAACTACAGTATGAGCTTAAATTTTGGAAATGTAAACTAATAAAAAATGAAATCAAAATTAAAACAGGAATTACAAAAATCAAGTAAAAAATAAGAAAAAGCACCAAAATCATGAACATATGTGTGTGTATCCATACACCCATATACACATGCACATGCACACACATATACACGCACACACATATACACTCACATATGCATACACATGTACACATACACACATACCCACTATTCGCACATACTTCCGTTGTTGTGAAGCGCCTCGAGGTTGGTCCAACGGGAGGCGCTATACAAATCGCAAATAATAATAATAATAATAATAATAATAATAATAATAATAATAATAATAATAATAATAATAATAATAATAATAATAATAATAATTATTATTATTATTATTATTATTATTATTATTATTATTATTATTACTATTATTATTATTATTATTATTGACAAATGTCAAGTCCAATAACGTTGTTATTAGAAATATACTGTACATCTTTTTTAGCATTACGAAACTATTACGACTGGATACCGTGTGACATCGACGAGATGCTTGCAATGGAACCTTTTCAACGATGGTCCTTGTTCAGACCTTTACTTTACTCACGGTAGAGCGAACTGACATTGCGTCGGGGAAGCGTTTACCAAAAATTACACAGTCGACCGTCTGCATTTTTCGGCAGACGGTCGGCCGGTCGTTGTAACTAGTGTTGAGCAAAAGCTCCTGTTTTCTCTTTTCAGTTACTCTATCAGTACACTGATAAAACGGCTACATTCAGGAAAACTGTGCGAGGCCAAGCGACACGCGAGTAAATGCTCTTTGAACTAACTTTGAGTCTGGGGCCGGTGTCATGCGTCCCTAAAGGGTAAGCAAATCTTATAATGAGCACAATGAAACCAAATTGTTTTGTTAAAGGCCTAATTTGTACATTATAAAATTCGAATTATTTTTATTGCCTTGGAATTTAATTAGTAACCCATAGAGCTGCCAATGCCAATGAAAACAAACGGCTTTAACATTTACTACGGTAATTCTTAGATAATCATAATTATAGGGAATATAACTACTTAAGCTTATGGGTTTAAGAGTAGCACGTCACCCTGAATATCTTAACGATTAGGAAGTGATATCACTAGGAAAAATCGATTTACATCCGGCGTCGTTACTCCAATTTCGTGGTCCTGTTACTGTAATCCCCGGCAAATCAATGGTTTTATAACTGTGAAATGCAATTAAATGATTTATTCATACAATTATTTTATTTGAAAATGTATCCACGATAACATATCCAATACAGCATGTAAGAATTTGAGGTCCTGGATTTCATATAGACAGTACAGCGTACTTAATACACACTAAAGTCGTACTCGATACACTAAAAAACGGCTACATTTACACTTGTTTGGTGCTGGGACGAATTCGTCGGCCGACACGGTCGTGTGAACGTCGGCCGACGCATTTTGCCGTAGCGATTCTATAAAGACCGCAAAATGACGAGGTGCGCGCACGAGGGATCACTTCAATAATCCGCTGAACTCGGAGGCTTTTAATCTCATTCCGTTCCAATCGCAGGAACGTTTTCAGACCTGTCCGACTTAAATATGGAATTAGGTGTGACCATATTATCTTGATTTAGCCGATAACGAATAAATCAATTAGTAGTATGTGGACACATTATCTACTCGGTGTTGATGTCTCACATTATAGAGTGTACCATATGTATAACAATGACATTATATTCCCTAAGCGCACCTGTAATAAGTCCTGGAACATAGATTGCGTGTCTCCATCAGAGTAAAAAACAATGTTACTGTGACATGCCACTCGAAGCCTAAGGTAAAATATCAGTGTCCTAGTGCGGTCGCTGACAGCGCTCTAATGAGCCCTTTTAAAACCATCTTTATTAATAATTCCGTCTGAGTTTTTTCGTTGAAAGATTGAACTACAGTCTTATGTAACTATCGTATGTCAAATAAATGTGTTTAATATATCCATGGACGTGCTATATGAACAATAAATTCCTGTCAGTCAAACTAACCCTGACACAGTTACAATTACCCCCTTCTATCCATGCTCTGCTTTCTGTCAGAAGTATGGAATATAGAAGTAATTTTATGATTAGAAAATATACGCTCCCAATGATGGTAGGCCTATGCTGCGCTGCGAATATTTTATATTTTTTTATCAGATGTTTTATTGTTTTTGTTTCTTTATTTACATTTGATAGATTATAGCTAGGCCTAATTTATTTTATGTTGTTTTATGTTTTCATTTTCCAAATTAATAGAGAATCTTTGTAGAGCACTTAGGTTTTTCCCCAGCCTCTAAATTTAGTTTCTCTGCTAATAGTTACACTTATTTGAAGTGGTATTGTTTCTTGCTAGTTGATTGAATATTAAAATTAAAGTGAATATAAATATAATTAAGAAAACCAAGCCAAACAATATTGGTTTATGCAACAGATAGCGACTCTGTTTTACAGAATGTATGTCGATGATACATTTACATGGGGATAGACGATGACTGGACTAATGTTTGAAGGAAAATATTACTGCAAAGAGTAAGAACAAAATAAAATAAGAAGAGAGGGATTATTTAGAGGAGTTTGTTTAGTGATAAATGAGGTCGCTGATCATAAGTAATCGGCCATCAGCAACACGATTCCTCAGTTAGAGAACAATTTTCGTAGATTTTGAGCAAAATGTGATATAGCCTTAGGTTATAACGCCACATTATTTCAAGTTATATCTTACGATAAACATAACTTGATAATGAATATTTTGACCCCCAGTTGTAACACAGCATACCCCTGGACAGGCCTGAGTAAACATAGACACTGCAGTACAGGCCTAGAGATACAATAACCCCGTCTACGCTTCATTATTGTTACATTTCTAAAAAATAACTTTAGTAATGATTGCAGATCATAATTGTAAATTTTTAGTCCAAAATGCTTGGCAGCAGACGTCCATACGTCAACAAAGAAACCAATTGTCTGTAAAAAAATATTTATAGCTTTGTAAAATATGCCCATAATCTTTCTGACATGATAGGTAATTCCAGATGACGGCTGGACGCTGGAATACATTATAGCAATTGCATTGGCCTACAGCGTATTTTCTTGAAAAAGGACTCGCTCACAAATATGATTTAGTTGGCCTATGGGTAAACATAAAATTTCTATAGTTATAATGCGTCACTAGACTAAATGTTTTCTGACGCCAGATAATACAACCAGCATTTTAAGTTGTTAATTTCCTTAAAGAACTAAAAACTACAATATTTATAGCATTCAATCTAATAAATATAAGCGACACTTCAAAAAAAAAAAAAAAAAAAGACAAGAGAAAAGAAATAATTGTTTACTTCACATAGGCCTATTACAAAATAAATTAAATGAAATTAACAATATATGACTGTACTGAGTTCATTTTAGTGTATTGGAATAAAACTAACAATACTAAAGCAACAAAGGACAGATTGGAATAAATTAATGCATTCTAAAATTGTCTTTGGGCCATCATTACTTTTTCATGACTCATATTAGTCTAACCTTCGTGCAATCATTTCTGTCTACCATAAGGTCAAAGATACTAATTCTGTCTTGTGTTTATAGTACATTTGATAAAGTAAAGTAAACAACTTCATGTTATATTAAAACGGGGCGGTTTTGTTTTTACAATTTTTTGTTTTTCTTATACGTACATAACGAAGTTGAAACATTGTTTTAATGTTATTTTCTGACACAACGTTCACAAAGTTATAATTACGTTGTGATTGATGCATTAAAATACCTCAAAACTCAAGTTAATTTCTTTAGATAAATTTAGAAAACTATTTATTAATTCATTTAAAAGAGAATAATTATTTAATTACGAACCTATCATAAAGTTATGTTATTTATATAAATAGGCCTATATTTATTTATAAATGACATCCCTTCACTATTCAATTCATCTTAGTGTTTAATGTATGCTGACGATTTAAAAAATATATAAAATTATAAGTTCATTACAAGATTCTCATAATCTTCAAAATGATCTTGTTCGGATGTGTGTTTGGTTACAGAAATGGGGACTTGAATTAAATCTCAGTAAATGTAAAATTTTAAGCATTACTCTAAAGAAAATACCCATTATTTTGACTATTTTATCAATAATAATAACGATAATATAATAACGATAATATCACGATAATAATAATAATAATAATAATGATAATAATATCATTGAGAGAGATCATTGAGAGAGTTTACACTAAAAAAAATCTGGGAGTTTATATTAACTCTAAACTTAATTTTTCTGCTCATTTTAAAGAAACATTTAAAAAGGCTAATCGTATTTTAGGGCTCATGTGGAGAAACTGTAAAGATCTTCATCTTGAAACCAAATTTTCACTTTATCAAACATTAATTCGACCTTCTCTTGATTTTGGATACCGGTATGTTATTTATAATTCAATTAATTCAGTTATGTTAATCGCATTGAAAAATGTCATTATTCTTTTATGCATTTTGTTTCATATAATCAGACTGAGATAGTCAATCTAAAAAAAAATTTTATCACCTAAAGTACGTAGAGCTTTTCTTGATCTTAAGTTTCTGTATAATGCTGTAAATAGTAATTTTTATTGTAATCTTATTTCATGTTTCTCTCTCAATGTGCCATCTCGTAGATTAAGAGGTATACCTACTTTTTATGTTCCTTTCGGGAGGGTAAGTGCTAGTCAAAATGAGTTGTTTTGTAAATTAAGTAAAGTATATAACTCGTTTTGGTTCAAGATAATAGTCTTGATATATTTTCCTATTCTTTCAATCAGTTAAAAGATGTACTGTCCCTTGCAAAAACAAAACAAAAATCATAAAAATCATTTTAGAAATTTACTTGCCCATTTTGAAGTAACATAAAAATTACCAACTTTAAAATAGAAATTAGTGTATTAAAAAAATGTTTACCCATAAAAACCATCATTTTACAGCGAAAAAATGATAGAAACACTTCCAGTGACTATCTTTATTATAATTATCCAGTTAAAAAATCGGGGAACACATTTTTTTAATTTGATATTTTCTATGCTCAAGTTAATAA